TGCCAAAAATACCCGAACTTAATTATATTTGCTTAAAAAATACTCAAACTTTTTTGACTACCCGATTAATATACTAACTATATAACATTGTCTTTTATATACTCCAACTTTCAGAATTAAGTGGTTTTACTACATTGACGTTAATGCCATGAATCTGGTTAACGGAAGTTAATAAACTCCGTTTATTTTTTATTAGCATGTGTTAATAGTCGGAAAAAATGAAAACCATAGGACCCTTGACATATACATTGTTCTTAACAGACAGAAATTTGTCTTGTTCTTGGATGATATATGGGTTAAAGTGAATCTATCGACGATTGGTGTCCTTTATCCGAATGAAAAAATACTGTCTTTAAATGAATATTTGAGCTACATAATAGATTTTTTTTTTCTTATTTTTTGAAAATATCTGCTACTAAAAAATTTGGATAATTGGATGCCCTAATTAAACGTTTGAAGAAGAAATTTGAGCTACATGCTATAGATGTCGTGTGCAAATACAAGTTTTTTTTTTGGTTTTTTTCGACATACAAGTTTTCCGTGAAAACAACAACAAAATACAAAAAAATTGAAAAATTAATTCTTTAATAACAGTCATGAATAATATGCGCCACGTGTTGCTACTTTTCCAAAGAGAGATGACAGATACTACTGATTTGACTGAACAAAAATAAATAAACAATGAAAAATAAGAGAATATCAGATACATTGAACCTGGACACTTGATAATCCCAAAGACCAAACCGCAGAACAAAAAGCTTATTAAAAGGAGGGAGATAATCAATTCTTCTCTAAATACAAAAAAAAAAAAAAAGAGAAATCACAAAGAAATTGCGATTGAAATTAATTAATGGCGAAAGAAGGAGGATACGTGACGGTGGCGGCGGAAGAAGTGGAGGAGCTACGGAGGAGAAACAGAGAGCTCGAGAGAGAAGTGGAGGAGATGAGGACGGAGATGGTTAAGTTGTGGCGGAGGACAGTGGTGGCGGAGGAGGCGGAGGAGAGGCTCTGCTCGCAGCTGGCGGAGCTGGAGGTTGAGTCTTTAGATCAAGCGCGTGAGTATCAATCTCGCGTGCTCTTCCTCATGGACCAAATCTCTCGTCTCTCTTCTTCTTCACTTGAAATCGTTGTTACGAATTCGTAGAGTTATTTATGTCTGTAGAAATGGCTAAATCAATGCCAGCTTTTGTTTGGTGGTCTAGGAAATCAAAAACCTCTCTCAAGACGAAAATTAGTTAAATTTTGTTTATTAAATAAATGTAACTTTAGTTAGAACGTAACTAGGTTTTGTTTATTAAATATTTGTACCTAGCGAACATAAAACGGCGATCGGAAAAATTTACATCTTATTTTTGTACGCCCATGAGAAACACAAGAAAATAATTACTATTGAGTGTTTTGGGGAAATTGAAATTACTAGTATTTGTTAGCTTTGATAAAACGGCATTAAAACGGGTAATTATTGTATACATGTAATTTTAGTGATTACGACAACGAGAGAGAGACGTCTCATCAAGTTTCTTTCATGGTTATTCATGCTTATGAAGATATTTTGATCAACAACAACAACAATAAAATAAGGGCAATTTTCATAAATTGATGCACAAGCACAACAGCACAAAATATTGATTAGAGACTCTGACGTCAAAATGTATTTCAATATTCAGATCTGGGCATATACTTCAGTGTTTACCTGTTAGGCCCATCAAGCTATATATGATTATCATGCAAATCATATTCCATTGTTTTAAACTCAGAACCTATAATCTAATTCGCTTTGGGACGAAGTACTTTGAATATTAAAGAGAATCAAACATTGCTACTGCTAGTAGAAGCAGAATAATTTAACACGAGTTCTTGCTAACAACAACAGCTAAATTAATAGAAATACGACATTACATTTGTGTTTGAAGATCCTTACTATCAAAACAGATAGATTTTGGTGATGGCCATATAAACAAAAGGCTCCATATTACTACTTTCCTCGTTTGCCCTTTATCTCAGGGTCCCTGCAGTAAAAACAATAAAGAACGGTCCGATCCAATTTAGTTATTGTACATATTCATATCTTTCATCAACAGAAGAACAGAGAACTTGATTTCGAACCTCTGGATATGGTCTAGTATTAGAAGCCTTGGCCCTGGTGGGATGCTCACATCTCTTAGCGCGCTTGATTCATAATTCAAAAAGCGACAAGAGATTAGCCTTAGTTGCTACATAAACGAAATCTTCAACGG